ACAATTAATACTCATAATTGCAGGAACAGTCATAAATTGAATAGGGGTATTTTTTAAGGCTCTTTGCCACTCGGCATGATGCTCTTTTTTGTCTTTTTTATGGTATTTCCGATCAGTAGGTTTTAAGAATATTAAATACTCACGAGAATAAATAATCCGATTAGAGGGCATATTTGAATAAGATTTAATTATTTAAAATGAATTGGAAATGAGCAATTAGATGCAATATGATTTGTAATGTATAAGGTGTAACAGATATTCCACAGGGTCACAGACAGAGAAAGAAGAAGACGCAGAGTGCGATGAAAGGTCTATATTATGAGCATGCAAGGTTTTAAATTAAGCGGTTACAAGTTAGTTATCATCTGTTAAAACAAGTCCAGCTAGACGTTCCTCTTCTTGTTCCAATGAGTTTATGCTAGTATTGGTTTCTGCAAAAGAAGAAAAGAAAAACTTATTAAGTGATATCATATTGGTTTTTGTCCTATTACAAAGGTATTTGGTAGCCCAAGATTTAAGCAGGCCGCCAAGGTCGGAAAATGTTCCCTGCTTAAACATTTCTATTTGGTTCCCTCTCGTTTTGTTTGTGATTTGTTCTATAGCGCTTTTCTGACTGCATCTGTTCATTGCTATCCTCACTAATGTCTTACTTATTCAGTTTTTGCACATCTACCCTTTTCTTCTTTTCTAGCTTGAATTCACGAATAACTTATTCAGCGATTAGAATTTGATGAATTATCTTGTCATGCAAATTGCATAGTTCCATCCGCACATGTTTCTCTCTCAAAAATTTAGAAGTAGGTAATTCAATTCAAACTAGATCACGACATCTGATCGATTTGAAAACGATTGTTTAGTCAATAGTACTTTGAAGCTGCCGAGTACTTGTTTGCTACCACTAAAAACCATGGGACACCGACGTCATCAACGATCGATATAATCACCTGGAGTGTACACCCGGAACGGGTGCAGGCATCTCTACCGCAATACACAATGACTTGTGATAACCTCTGAGAATCCTTCGTCTCACATATCCTGTTTGTTATATGCTTCATCATTTGAATTGTTAGTCAGGTGTGAGGTGAGCTGATAATGGTACATGAGGTTTAGTAGCACTTCACCACTCCACCACCACTGTTTTGCAGTCACAAATGACGATAATCTCAGCGACTCTCTATGCTGAACTACCAGAGATATTTCATTATCGCCCTCACTAAAAATATGAACGTGAAATTGTGTCATTCAGAGGACTGATATTCTCTGTGGAAGCGAAACACGGTTATGCTAGCATGTCATTTCTTCACACAATTGCATGTGAGCACGCATCCTCCAACAGACGACAGCGTGGCGAACCCACAAAGCGTGAATCTGACCACAGGTTAACACTCTTCTGCGTCTTCTGTCGCATAAAATTCAATGTAATGCATTGTTCTCGTATCAGCTTATCGCATACTCACGTTGCTAACATGATAAGAGAAGTAAGCCAGTAATGAGGAAGTCTAATAAGGTTTTATGTTTATTATTTTTTATCATTGTTATGGTGTGATGGGTGACTTTGTTTCAGGGTCATGCACAGCATATTGGACATTTCTATTCAATAACATTAAATGTGGATAAGAGAATGGAAGTGAGAAAGAGATTATGATATGCAGATAGGCGGATGAAAATTTCAGATATGGTTTCTATTCATACATTAATAATCACAAGTACTATTTATTCATTCTTGTATTAGCTACAGCAGTTTTGCATGATCTTCATTATTCATCCTTCGTTTAAGTTACTCAATTCGATTTAAATTGACACACGTTGACGTGGTTCATTGTGGCTTGCATTCTCTGGCGAGATACTTTGATGAGATGAATGTGTATATGTTCGTCCACACCTGTGGAGTTAGAATATCAGTGTTGTCGGATCAGTCTCTGGCGCAAGCGATATGGAGTCTTTGCTACCTACCTCACACCATATTCTCTTGATATGAACACCACAAAAGTATTTCTGTGTTTCCATGATTCTGCTGAACCGATAAACTGTTTCACGTTCTTACGCCTCCTCTGTGATAGTTTCACTCACAAACTGTCAAATTGAAGTTATAGGATGAAGACATGCACATGGAACGAAGTGATTATTCTCACAAAAATTGTCTCATGAAATATACTGACAGCATTTCATACCACACTCATACTTTGTTTGTTCAATCAACAAATTCACAGACAAGATTGAATATACTTCGCCACCTGACATCCAACTAGGGTTCACAGGATACGGATCGTATCTTTGAAAATGACACATCCGAATCCCATCTTATTTCGCTTAGAATCCATTCGAATTCTTTCTTATTTTCTATGGATTTTTTTCATTTGTTTATCTCCGCGTTACTCTATGTGTCTAGTCTCTCTTTCACTTCAATATGTAATTCATGGCTCCAACACTCTGTCAGTTCAGGAAAAGGTGTTTTCTTGTATGTCTGTGATTTGCGTTGGACTTGTCACGGTGTTACACAACTTTTTAGTTTCTTAGCAGCCTCCCAAAAACTTCTTTTGTGGACCTCATTGTCCACTGCAACCAAACAATTAGATTTGGTTTTTATTTGTTTCAATCTCAGCCTTCTATGTTAAGTGCAGTAAAGTGTAATAAACTGGCACTCTTTGTGAATTTCCGAGAGCCATCTTATTGGACATCATGTCATGGTTGAAAGTGCATAAACATGATTAAGTCAACTTTAGGCGGCACGCATTTAACGAGTAGCCAGTGATATAAACGATAGTATCACCTTATTTTTTTCAAACCATCGTCTGTGCTTCACTCAAATATATCCTTACAAATAGTCTTCAGGAAAAACAATTCACTGAGTGAAATAAATAGTGAAGAGTAATGATGAACACATTCAGTAGTGAGGTCTATCTCAGAAAAGTATATACACCTGCGAATAGAAGACTCTATCCAATGTATCAAGTACTCGAAAACTAAGTAAGACATCACAGATGGATGCCTTTCATGTCAACGGGTACTTTATGACTTGTTGTTGACTGGGATACAAAATTCGAGTTCATAATCTGCTGGAACCCACTAACTCATCAACTTAATGCCGAACATTTCAAGTTAGCAGTGTGAAGTTCGAATGCAGGGTCAACTTTTGAAGGCATCCATATAGGCTTATACTGTTCCTTGGTCTCAATCAAGGGTGAACTCTTTCTGCGGTTCGCTTTAGATTTTATTTTCAATATATTCTTCTTCCCTTGGATCCAGAGTGAAACACATAAATTCAAAAACCCAACTCAATCTTGACTTATATCTGAAGTCATCTTTGTCTGGTCTCAGGACTGCCTACAAGATTTTACCTCTTCCTCAAAAAATTTCGTCGTTACCCTCGGAAAATCAGTTTCTCATTTCTAATCCATTTTATGAATTCGCATTCTCGAGGATGTTTCCATCCTCCATTTTGTCAAAATATATTCCTATTAGTATGTCACGCATCATAATATGGGTGCGTTTTCAGGCTTTCTTATGAATTCAGAAAATACAAGCTTCAGTCATTTGGCGACGATGAATGAGAGCAAAAGCTCATCAATGCTACAGGATAATCGTGGCGGCAGTATATACAGAGATATGGATTAGGAATCAAAGGATACTGGTACCTCATCCAGTGACTAGAAGATAACACGATCATCTTGTGACACGATGGTCATCGGGATGAAACATGGTAGCCTCAAACAATTTTCCTCTTGACGATTGTATTCTAGTATAAATAAAACTCACCATGCCTCTCGAATTTCCATGATTCTCTAAATGACTTCGACATCTTCAGTGTGATGTTCATAACTGGCGAAACTCTACGACTCTAGCTTTCAGTCAAGGCGGACTAAAATTCAGGTTGAGAAACGGATTCGCTTTTTGATTACAACTTAACATATGTGTAGCTTTTCATCTTGGTATTTTACTGTCACACCATTTCTCACTTTGATTTCCAACTACTCATAATAATCGGTAGTCTTCGGCGTTCTGGAAGATGTTTCCATCCTCCATTTTGTCAAATTTAACCTTATTAGGAAGTCACTCCTCGTATTTGTTGTTCATTATCAGGCTTTCTTATGAATTCAGAAAATGCATGCTTGAACCCTTTTACTACGTTTGGTGAGAGGATACGTCTCTACTGTTGTGCCTCTAAGTTTATTCTCTGTGAGCATTAGCAGGTGTCATTCATTTAAGAATTTTTCCTGTTGTTTATTAGTTTAAAATATTCAATTGACTAAAATTATTATAATTTCTGTATTTTTCATTTTCTGCATCTTGCTTGTTAAAAAGAATGATAAGTGAGTCCGCGAATAAAGGATGCCAAATAATATATTTTACACATAGCAAAGTTCCACTCAACCGAACTTCAAACATTTTTCTTTATACAACAAGATGGCAACTGTTCTGGTGTAATCAGTGGTGTGATTGTGGAGATGTTTGACACTCCGATTGAGAAAATCTTTAGTGTCTTTCTTGTGTTTGCTTATGAATTTTGATGCTTAGCAGATAACTTTAAGTAACAAGCTAATCCCTTTCTGATTTATAATTTCCCGTTAACGTTGACCGAAGCAAGTAAGTAAGATTCGTGCAAATTCGGACACAAGATTGCCTTCTCATTCAAATGATTTACTAAAAGAGATCGACAATATGAGGCCTGTTATCCGAGTACGCAAAACGATATATGGAAACCGAAAGCGCCATCAACAAATACTGACTGAAATATTTGTTAAGTGCAGGCGTTCTCGAACTTACTTTGCCCAGTCGAGAGTTTGCATCACAATCATCAAGTTATTACAAGGAATCCCATTGAGAATGCGTCCTTTGTCACCTATTAAAAGTTTTTTACATACACAATCACATAACGCAGAGACTATAAGTAAACTCTGGAAACTACTCACTGAGAATGTCGATACGGTGGAGCTACCTATCAGCAGATCCCTTTCAGTGATAAAAAGACCAATGCAGGAAGATGATATAATAAAGATGGATTGGGAAATATTGTTATTTATTAGTTAACTTTGAAAAAAACCAAACATTTGAAATATTAGAAACTACAACTACATAGTTTAAGTGAAACTGGAAACGTTTATATTAATTTGTTGTGTAATTGAACAAAAGAGTACAATTCTCGTCGGACATCATGCAAGCGACTGAGTAAATCAGAAGTCACAACGCGAAGATAACACGAAGCAACTGCTAAGCGCCTTCTACAAATAAAACAAGAGATGTGTGTTGATTAGGCCACATGAATATGACATATATCGAAGAAGATAAACAACCTAGGAAGAAGAGGACTACACACGCGAGGTTAGTAAAATTGATACCGACGCAATACAATTTGATTATACATGTTGACAGAAACAAGGTTGGCAGTAAGTGAAGGTATGGAATAACCAAAAAAAACATAATTGTCAGTTTGAAATTGGAAACAAACATTCAAAATATCATAGAGAAAAGCAAACGAAAAAAATAATGCAATAAAAAATATATAAACACATTAATATAATATAATAAAACAAACTAATATGCAAGAAAATATAACGAAAAGTGCGCTAGCCCTAATAGTTGAAGAATAATATCAACACAAAACGACAGAACACAAACAAAAAATTAAAACTGAAAAAGAATCAATAGGAGATTAATGACTAAAAACATCAACAGGAATTTCATGGAGTAAAAAGATTTAGAAAACTCCGAAGAAATAAAATAATTTCAGAGAAAACGAAGAACATGAAATCACATTTTCTATCTCTGAAGATATAGGCACACAGCGAATATCAGTCCTTCACAATACTAGTTTGTGTCAGTCCACAACACTTTCATAATTTATTCTGCCTATCCAGATCGCTTCTCTACACCTATTGAATTCCATTCACGAATGGTGAATTGAAACAGTCTGTTCACAAAGCAGTACCATCCTCAGAGTCATTTTCTGATGATTGCATCTATTTGTGATTGGCGTGATTGTCTACTGACAAGGTGGACGAGAGATTGAAGACGAAAGAAGACAGAAACTGTAATTGTCGACTGCAGGAGGTGACGTCTGCGTTTCAGAAGGACACGACAACCTAGTAGTGATTACTAGCATGTCTGACAGTTAGATATAATAGAGAAGATTTGTAGCTCAGGTGGATGATTTTGGTGTGGTTGTCTTCTCTGAGCTGGATGGTTTGGTTGCGAAGCTTTCATTGCTCTACCGAGCTACATCTTCAGCACATACTTCGATGTGTGCGCTCAGTAGAGCAATGAAAGCTTCGCAACCAAACCATCCAGCTCAGAGAAGACAACCACACCAAAATCATCCACCTGAGCTACAAATCTTCTCTATTATATCTAAATAATACGAGCGGAACACGCTTCTTTCTCTTGGAAAGCGGGAAGACTTCGCGAAACGGCAAGGATCCACCAGAGAACAAATATTTTTTTCTCCATGTCTGACAGTATGCTGACTGTGCAGTGCAACACTGGTTTCTGCTCACACTATGTGCTTGCTTCATTTGATTTCTGGTCTCCACCGAACTGACTTCCACAAATCGCCTGCATTACAATCTACTGGGAGATCAGGTGATGCGTTACGTGGACAGAGATTTACGCCTTCACGAAGAACTCAGAAAGGCACAGTTTGAATTTACTCAGCATCTTCCGAATACTATTTCACACCTTATCTGTATTCTCATATTCCACAAATATCAAATTCCCACTCTGACGCCTATTTCGGATGCATCTGCCTAGTCAATTTTATTCACTGTTTCCATTTATTCATGTCAGCATACACTAATTTGTTTAGGTCAGGTTGGTTGACAGATGCTCCCGTCAATTTTTATAACTCTCGCTAATGTAGATATACATATATATCTTGTCATCACATATTGATAGAACAGACTTCGATAATACATGCATTCGCATGAAAGCACATTTTGACTTATTTTCAACATGATGAAATTATCTATGTATATGTTTACAAATGTGCACATAAGTTCATCCTGAATATTTTCATTCCAACAGCTCTATATTTGTACTTGCATGGTGATACTTGGTAATTCATAATAACACCAGCAGTTTATCGGTTGTTTTCCACAATAGCTTTGTAATAAATAAATAATTCGGATACATGTTCAAATATAATGTGAATGGCTGTATAATTTCAAATCGTTAATATCCGCAATCCTGCATCATATTACACTGAACAATCCATCAAAACAAAAAATATATATTCTTAAAAATATATTCTTACGGATAAATTTGTTCTTCAAAATATCTTTTCAAATATACGAAAAAATATTTTATCAAAGGAATGATAAAAGAAACATTCATAAATATAACATAATTAGCAAAAAAATGACGCTATTGCCAGTTTATTCTAACCCTTCCACGATATAGGCATACAACGAATATCACTCCTTCACAATACTAGTTTGTGTCAGTCCACAACACTTTCATAATTTATTCTGCCTAACCAGATCGCTTCTCTACACCTATTGAATTCCATTCACGAATGGTGAATTGAAACAGTCTGTTCACAAAGCAGTACCATCCTCAGAGTCATTTTCTGATGATTGCATCTATTTGTGATTGGCGTGATTGTCTACTGACAAGGTGGACGAGAGATTGAAGACGAAAGAAGACAGAAACTGTAATTGTCGACTGCAGGAGGTGACGTCTGCGTTTCAGAAGGACACGACAACCTAGTAGTGATTACTAGCATGTCTGACAGTTAGATATAATAGAGAAGATTTGTAGCTCAGGTGGATGATTTTGGTGTGGTTGTCTTCTCTGAGCTGGATGGTTTGGTTGCGAAGCTTTCATTGCTCTACCGAGCTACATCTTCAGCACATACTTCGATGTGTGCGCTCAGTAGAGCAATGAAAGCTTCGCAACCAAACCATCCAGCTCAGAGAAGACAACCACACCAAAATCATCCACCTGAGCTACAAATCTTCTCTATTATATCTAAATAATACGAACGGAACACGCTTCTTTCTCTTGGAAAGCGGGAAGACTTCGCGAAACGGCAAGGATCCACCAGAGAACAAATATTTTTTTCTCCATGTCTGACAGTATGCTGACTGTGCAGTGCAACACTGGTTTCTGCTCACACTATGTGCTGCTTCATTTGATTTCTGGTCTCCACCGAACTGACTTCCACAAATCGCCTGCATTACAATCTACTGGGAGATCAGGTGATGCGTTACGTGGACAGAGATTTACGCCTTCACGAAGAACTCAGAAAGGCACAGTTTGAATTTACTCAGCATCTTCCGAATACTATTTCACACCATACCTGTATTCTCATATTCCACAAATATGAAATTCCCACTCTGACGCCTATTTCGGTTGCATCTGCCTAGTCAATTTTATTCACTGTTTCCATTTATTCATGTCAGCACTCATCAAATTGTTGATGTCACGTGGGTTGAAACATTTTCTCGTCAGTGTGTCTTCACTCTCAATAATATTGTTGTACATAATCATATATATTCAGTAAACATATTTTGATAGAGCAGACTTCGATGCCACAAGCATTTGTATGAAAGCACATTTTGAGATATTTTCAATATGATATACTTATCTATGTATATGTTTACAAATGTGCACAGAAATTCATCCTGGTTATTTTCATGTAATGAGCTGTGTATTTGTGCTTGCATGGTAATGGTTGTTTACTCATACTTTCACCAGCAGTTTGATGATTGTTATCCACAATTACGTTTTTGTAAATAAATTATTCGGATGCATGTAAACACAATATTTTTGGAACGTAGGGTGTCTTTTTTCCATGATGTTTCCAATTTTCAATTTTTATAAATATAATTCAGCAATCTTTCAAAATGAGAAATTTCTCCAGAAAATACTTACTTTTCACGCAGTTTTTCTTAACTACATTGAGAAATATTAAAATGTCATTTTGAATTCAAATATTGTAGAATACATTCTTGATAAATAAATAAAATATAGAAAAGACAACGAAGAACAATACAGTTCAAACTTAATCAGTGTTGCGTAGGCACACAGCGAATATAACCAATCAACAATAATAGTTTGTGTCAGTCCACAACGTTTCATTATTTGTTGTGCTTATCCAGATAGGTTCTCTACACCTATTGAATTCCATTCACGAATGGTGAATTGAAACAGTCTGCTCACAAAGCAGTGTCATCCACAGAGACTTTGTGATGATTGCATCTATTTGTGATTGGCGTGATTGTCCAATGACATGGTAACGCGTACTCGAACTACTTAGAAAGGCACACTTTGGATTTACTCAGCATCTTCCGAATACTATTTCACACCTTATCTGTATTCTCATATTCCACAAATATCAAATTCCCACTCTGACGCTTATTTCGGTTGCATCTGCCTAGTCAATTTTATTCACTGCTTTCATTTATTCATGTCAGCATCCATCGAATTGTTGATGTCACGTGGGTTGAAAGATTCTCTCGTCAGTGTTACTTCACTCTCCGTAATATTGTAATACATATTTATATGTATATATATATGTTTATATTTATGTATATTTGGTGAACACATTTTGATAGAACAGAATTCGATGCTACTTGCATTGGGATGAAAGCACATTTTGACTTATTTTCAATATGATAAATTTATCCATGTATATGTTGACAAATGTGCACAAAGTTCATCCTGGCTATTTTCATTCAATCAGCCCTATATTTGTACTTGCATGGTGATTCTCGATATTTCATAAATTCACCAGCAGTTTATCGGTTGTTTTCCACAATAACTTTGTAATAATTAAATTATTCGGATTCATGTTCACACACCATATTGCAAGCCTTGTAATTCAAAAACTGTTTTTTCCTTCCAAGGTCATACTGTTTTCACATATACCTTAAAACTTCAAAAATTATTATATTTAGCAAAATGGATATACCTTTTACACAGTCTTCGTGATTTGCATTGTCGAAAAAAATGAAATTTAATTCATTTTGATTATTTCAAATGAAATGTGTCAAAATAGAAAAAGTCATTATTAATGCAGCCAAACACTGGACAGAAAAGCTCTTCTATTTAACGCCGTATGCATACAGCGACTCTTTCTTCATCACATTACAAGTTTGTGTCAGTCCACAACGTTTTCATAATTTGTTCTGCCTATCCAGATCGCTTCTCTACACCTATTGAATTCCATTCACGAATGGTGAATTGAAACAGTCTGTTCACAAAGCAGTACCATCCTCAGAGTCTTTTTCTGATGATTGCATCTATTTGTGATTGACGTGATTGTCTACGGACAAGGTGGACGAGAGATTGAAGCCGAAAGAAGACAGAAACTGTAATTGTCGACTGCAGGAGGTGACGTCTGCGTTTCAGAAGGACACGACAACCTAGTAGTGATTACAAGCATGTCTGACAGTATGCTGACTGTGCAGTGCAACACTGGTTTCTGCTCACACTATGTGGTTGCTTCATTTGATTTCTGGTCTCCACCGAACTGACTTCCACGAATCGCTCGCATTACAATCTACTGAGAGATCAGGTGATCCGTTTCGTGGACAGAGATTTACGCCTACCCGAAGAACTCAGAAAGGCACAGTTTGAATTTACTCAGCATCTTCCGAATACTATTTCACACCTTATCTGTATTCTCATATTCCACAAATATGAAATTCCCACTCTGACGCCTATTTCGGATGTATCTGCCTAGTCAATTTTATTCACTGTTTCCATTTATTCATGTCAGCATTCATCGAATTGTTGATGTCACGTGGGTTGAAACATTTTCTTGTCAGTGCATTTTTACTCTACGTATTATTGTCAAATATCTGTGTATATATAAATGTATGTAGTCAACACATTTTGATAGAACAAGCTTCGATAATGCATGCTTTCCTATGAAATCACATTTGGACTTATTTTTTTACTATCATTAAATTATCTATATATTTGTTGACAAATGTGCACATAAGTGCATCCTGGCTATTTTCATGTTATCAGCTGTATATTTGTATCTGCATTGTAATACTTGTTTACTCGTACATCACCTGCAGTTCATCCGTTTGTATCTACAATAATTTGTTATTAATAAACTTTTCTTATCTATGTTTTCACACAATATCCATAACCTGTGTCGTCAGCATAATACTGTTTCGAATGCAAATAAATAATTCTTTCAAAAAATTATTTTAATTGGAAGCAATAAAAAAATTGACAAAGAAGTGAAGAAGAGTGCCAGGAAGGACAAAAGACAATTCTACGACAACCTGGCTACTGAAGCTGAGAAGGTTGCATCTGCCTAGTCAATTTTATTCACTGTTTCCATTTATTCATGTCAGCACTCATCAAATTGTTGATGTCACGTGGGTTGAAACATTTTCACGTCAGTGTATCTTCGCTCTCATTTATATTATTATACATATACATATATTTCAGTCAACACATTTTGATAGAAAAGACTTCGATAATACATGCTTTCGGATGGGAGCACATTTTGACTTATTTTCGATATGATCAAGTTATCTATTTATATGTTGACAAATATGCACAAAAGTTCATCCTGTCTACTTTCAGGTAATCAGCTGTATATTTGTAATTGCAGGGTGATTCTTGTTTACTCATACTTTCTCCGGCAGTTTATCGGTTGTTATTCACATTTTTTTATAAATCATTCATTGGAATACATGTTCACGAACCACGTTATTCCCTGCACCATCCCAGATTATTGTGAAATAGTTCGAAAAAATCTTTGTGACAATGCCTCATGATAACGGATATACATATATATTTAACTGTATACCTACCACGTCTGCATTCTTTGAAGTTTGCAATCGAAAGTAATAAAAATAAATTTAAATGTTAACGTAAAACACATTCAATAAAATATGTAAGTCATACAAAAGATAACGAAGGCCTTGGCAGTACACTCTGAACCTATGACGACATAGCCACAAAGCGAATATCACCACTCCAAAATAATAGTTTGTGTCAGTCCACAACACTTTCATAATTTATTCTGCCTATCCAGATCGCTTCTCTACACCTATTGAATTCCATTCACGAATGGTGAATTGAAACAGTCTGTTCACAAAGTAGTATTATCCTCAGAGTCTTTTTCTGATGATTGCATCTATTTGTGATTGACGTGATTGTCTACGGACAAGGTGGACGAGAGATTGAAGCCGAAAGAAGACAGAAACTGTAATTGTCGACTGCAGGAGGTGACGTCTGCGTTTCAGAAGGACACGACAACCTAGTAGTGATTACAAGCATGTCTGACAGTATGCTGACTGTGCAGTGCAACACTGGTTTCTGCTCACACTATGTGGTTGCTTCATTTGATTTCCGGTCTCCACCGAACTGACTTCCACAAATCGCCTGCATTACAATCTACTGAGAGATCAGATGTTCCGTTATGGGCACAGAGATTTACGCTTACCTGAACTATTTCGATAGCCACAGTTTGAATTTACTCAGCATCTTCCGAATACTATTTCACACCATATCTGTATTCTCATATTCCACAAATATCAAATTCCCACTCTGACGCCTATTTCGGATGCATCTGCCTAGTCAATTTTATTCACTGTTTCCATTTATTCATGTCAGCATACACTAATTTGTTTAGGTCAGGTTGGTTGACAGATGCTCCCGTCAATTTTTACCACTCTCGGTAATATTGATATACACGTATGTTTTTTCATCAACCTTTTGATAGAACAGACTTCGATGATACATTCTTTCGAATGAAAGCAAATTTTGACTCTTTTTAATATGATAAGTTTATTTATGTATATTTTGACAAATGTGCACAAACGTTCATCCTGGCTATTTTCATTCAGTCGGCTGTATATTTGTACTTGCATGTGGATACCTGTTTACTCATATATTAGCCATCGGTTTATCGGATTTTCACCACAATAACTTTGTTTTAAATAAATTGTTCGCATTCATCTTCTTACGCTATTTAGTAATCTTATCAGTATCATCTCCAAATCTTTCAATTTTTCGAGATATAATTTAGGAAAATAAATCAAGATATATATAATCAAAACCAGAGGAAAATATATTTACCTTTATCAGTGTCTTCGTTTTTCGCATTTCGGTAATAAAAGAATAAAATTAAAATTAATAATAAAAGTACAGAAAAAGATGATAGAAATTAAATAAATAAATACACCACAAAATTCCCGGTGTAACAACAGAAGACAAGGGCCAGGCAACAGATCAGTTTTATTACGAAAACCAACAGGTATTTATATGTTTTTTACGTACATTAATAAGGCTCTGCCCGCAGAAAGAAGGCGGTCTTCTGATTGGTTGTTTGCGAACAAACGCAGTCTTCTGCTTTCTCGTTTTCGATATTTCTCGGAAATGCGAGCCACTTGTCTGCGAATCATATTTGTGCACGTCTAGGTCAGCTGTGATCGGTTGTTGAATCAGCCTAGATTAATTTCCACCAATCAGCGTAGATCAATGTCTACCAATTGGCTAGCAGCTTGCTCTCACCACACTCGTCCCCCCGTCAAATACCTTGGACTGAATTCGGCTCGGTCTTCTCGGTTCTTGGGGCTTTGCTCTGTTGTCTTGCTGTCTGGAATCTCGGCGCTTGCGGATGTCCACTTGTTTAACGGTGTTTACCATTGCGATTGTGTCTGCGTAACCCCATCTCAACGCGACCATATATGGTCCTTCCCACTTTGGAAACTGTTTGCCTGACCCTGTCGCACATTCTTAGGTATTTCGCCTCACACTTCCATATGCTGCTTTCTTCCGACCACTCAGCAGCGTCCCAAGTAGCAGCCTCATCGCTGACAGATCTTGAACGCTACTCAACTGCGAAGAAGCCTCAAAGTCCTGCCCGAAGACCCATATGTCTCCATCATAAACTGCAGGGCATAGGCTTTCCACTTGTCGAAAGGCAGCGACAACAAATGTAACAACAGAAGACAAGGGCCAGGCAACAGATCAGTTTTATTACGAAAACCAACAGGTATTTATATGTTTTTTACGTACATTAATAAGGCTCTGCCCGCAGAAAGAAGGCGGTCTTCTGATTGGTTGTTTGCGAACAAACGCAGTCTTCTGCTTTCTCGTTTTCGATATTTCTCGGAAATGCGAGCCACTTGTCTGCGAATCATATTTGTGCACGTCTAGGTCAGCTGTGATCGGTTGTTGAATCAGCCTAGATTAATTTCCACCAATCAACGTAGATCAATGTCTACCAATTGGCTAGCAGCCTGCTCACACCACACCGGTTCATTCCCGATCTCTAATGACAAATGTTTACGGCTAATATCACTCCTTCAAAATAATAGTTTGTGTCAGTCCACAACGTTTTCATAATTTGTTCTGCCTATCCAGATCGCTTCTCTACACCTATTGAATTCCATTCACGAATGGTGAATTGAAACAGTCTGTTCACAAAGCAGTACCATCCTCAGAGTCTTTTTCTGATGATTGCATCTATTTGTGATTGGCGTGATTGTCTACGGACAAGGTGGACGAGAGATTGAAGCCGAAGGAAGACAGAAACTGTAATTGTCGACTGCAGGAGGTGACGTCTGCGTTTCAGAAGGACACGACAACCTAGTAGTGATTACAAGCATGTCTGACAGTATGCTGACTGTGCAGTGCAACACTGGTTTCTGCTCACACTATGTGGTTGCTTCATTTGATTTCTGATCGCAACCGAACTGACTTCCACGAATTGCATGCATTGCAATCTACTGAAAGATCAGATGTTCCGTTATGGGCACAGAGATTTACGCTTACCTGAACTATTTCGATAGCCACAGTTTGAATTTACTCAGCATCTTCCGAATACTATTTCACACCTTATCTGTATTCTCATATTCCACAAATATAAAATTCACACTCTGACGCCTATTTTGGTTGCATCTGCCCAGTGAATTTTTTTCACTGTTTCCATTTATTCATGTCAGCACTCTACAAATTGTTGATGTCACGTGGATAAAATCATTTTCTAGTCTGTGTATCTTAACTCTAAATAATATAACAATACATATAGTGATATATTTAGTCAACATATTTTGATAGATCAGACTTCGATACTACATGCATTCGAATGGGAGCACATTTGGACTTATTTTTTTACTATCATTAAATTATCTATGTATTTGTTGAGAAATGTGCACAAAAGTTCATCCTGGCTATTTTCATGTAATCAGCTGTATATTTGTAATTGCATGTTGATACTTGTTTACTCATAATTTCACCAGCTGTTTATCGGTTGTTTTCCACAATACATATTTATAACAATATTATACGGATCCATGCTCGCAACTTTTTTGATGACTCGATAAAATCAACACCTTATTACTTTTATGTTGCATTATATTACACGTAGCCATCCAGCATAATGAAAATTATACATAGGCAAGTATATATGTTCTTACTTATATTTTTGTGCTTCACTAAACGTTAAAGTAAAAACCATTAATTAATTTCTCAAAAGCAATAAGAAATGTAACTTTCATTTAAACACACGTCATACCTGGCAAAATAAAAACATGAAAAATCATTCTGTAACTGCAAGAAAATAGGAAACCAGCGAATACCACTCCTTCACAATACTAGTTTCTGTCAGTCCACAACGTTTTCATAATTTGTTCTGCCTATCCAGATCGCTTCTCTACACCTATTGAATTCCATTCACGAATGGTGAATTGAAACAGTCTGTTCACAAAGCAGTACCATCCTCAGAGTCTTTTTCTGATGATTGCATCTATTTGTGATTGGCGTGATTGTCTACGGACAAGGTGGACGAGAGATTGAAGACGAAAGAAGACAGAAACTGTAATTGTCGACTGCAGGAGGTGACGTCTGCGTTTCAGAAGGACACGACAACCTAGTAGTGATTACAAGCATGTCTGACAGTATGCTGACTGTGCAGTGCAACACTGGTTTCTGCTCACACTATGTGCTTGCTTCATTTGATTTCTGGTCTCCACCGAACTGACTTCCACAAATCGCCTGCATTACAATCTACTGAGAGATCAGGTGTTCCCTGACAGGCACAGAGATTTACGCCTACCCGAACAACTCAGAAAGGCACAGTTTGAATTTACTCAGCATCTTCCCAATACTATTTCACACCTTATCTGTAGTCTCATATTCCACAAATATAAAATTCACACTCTGACGCCTATTTCGGATGCATCTGCCTAGTCAATTTTATTCACTGTTTCCATTTATTCATGTCAGCACTCATCAAATTGTTGATGTCACGTGGGTTGAAACATTTTCACGTCAGTGTATCTTCGCTCTCATTTATATTGTTACACAAACACATATATTTCAGTCAACACATTTTGATAGAAAAGACTTCGATAATACATGCATTCGGATGAAAGCACATTTTGACTTGTTTTCAATATGTTCAAGTTATGTATTTATATGTTGACAAATGTGAACAAAAGTTCATCCTGTCTATTTTCATGTTATCAGCTTCATATTTGTAACTGCAATGTGATACTTTTTAATTATACTTTTAACAGGAGTTTATCGGTTGTTATTCTTAATAAGTTTGTTGTAAATGCATTATTCGGATCCAGGTTTCGTATTGTGTCTTAGGCACTGGTATGTACAATGACAAAGACGTCAATAAATATGAATTATACAGCGCACGAAGTTAAGCATATTTAAATCGAAAAATAATTTATAATTAACATTCACCTCCAAAACAATTTGCTTCTGTTCAGAAAAATAATAAAAAAATATTTCTCAAAATAAACAATCAAGAAAATATACATGAAGAAAAGAAAACGAAATCCAGATGCTGACGAAGCACTAACACTTCATTATTTCTATCTGAAGATATTAGTATACAGTGTATATCACTGTTTCACAAAACTAGTTTGTTTCAGTGCACAAAGAATTCTTAATTTGTTCTGCCTATCCAGATCGCGTCTCTACACCTATTGAATTCCATTCACGAATGGTGAATTGAAACAGTCTGTTCACAAAGTAGTATCATCCTCAGAGTCTTTTTCTGATGATTGCATCTATTTGTGATTGGCGTGATTGTCTACGGACAAGGTGGACGAGAGATTGAAGCCGAAAGAAGACAGAAACTGTAATTGTCGACTGCAGGAGGTGACGTCTGCGTTTCAGAAGGACACGACAACCTAGTAGTGATTACAAGCATGTCTGACAGTATGCTGACTGTGCAGTGCAACACTGGTTTCTGCTCACACTATGTGGTTGCTTCATTTGATTTCCGGTCCCCACCGAACTGACTTCCACAAATCGCCTGCATTACAATCTACTGAGAGATCAGGTGTTCCCTGACAGGCACAGAGATTTACGCCTACCCGAACAACTCAGAAAGGCACAGTTTGAATTTACTCAGCATCTTCCCAATACTATTTCACACCATATCTGTATCCTCATATTCCACAAATATGAAATTCCCACTCTGACGCCTATTTCGGTTGCATCTGCCTAGTCAATTTTATTCACTGTTTCCATTTATTCATGTCAGCATTCATCAAATAATTGTTGGTGTCACGTGGGTTGAAAGATTCTCTCGTCAGTGTTACTTCACTCTCCGTAATCTTGTAATACATATTTATATGTATATATATATGTTTATATTTATGTATATTTGGTGAACACATTTTGATAGAACAGAATTCGATGCTACTTGCATTGGGATGAAAGCACATTTTGACTTATTTTCAATATGATAAATTTATCCATGTATATGTTGACAAATGTGCACAAAGTTCATCCTGGCTATTTTCATTCAATCAGCCCTATATTTGTACTTGCATGGTGATTCTCGATATTTCATAAATTCACCAGCAGTTTATCGGTTGTTTTCCACAATAACTTTGTAATAATTAAATTATTCGGATTCATGTTCACACACCATATTGCAAGCCTTGTAATTCAAAAACTGTTTTTTCCTTCCAAGGTCATACTGTTTTCACATATACCTTAAAACTTCAAAAATTATTATATTTAGCAAAATGGATATACCTTTTACACAGTCTTCGTGATTTGCATTGACGAAAAAAATGAAATTTAATTCATTTTGATTATTTCAAATGAAATGTGTCAAAATAGAAAAAGTCATTATTAATGCAGCCAAACACTGGACAGAAAAGCTCTTCTATTTAACGCCGTATGCATACAGCGACTCTTTCTTCATCACATTACAAGTTTGTGTCAGTCCACAACGTTTTCATAATTTGTTCTGCCTATCCAGATCGCTTCTCTACACCTATTGAATTCCATTCACGAATGGTGAATTGAAACAGTCTGTTCACAAAGCAGTACCATCCTCAGAGTCTTTTTCTGATGATTGCATCTATTTGTGATTGGCGTGATTGTCTACGGACAAGGTGGACGAGAGATTGAAGACGAAAGAAGACAGAAACTGTAATTGTCGACTGCAGGAGGTGACGTCTGCGTTTCAGAAGGACACGACAACCTAGTAGTGATTACAAGCATGTCTGACAGTATGCTGACTGTGCAGTGCAACACTGGTTTCTGCTCACACTATGTGGTTGCTTCATTTGATTTCTGGTCTCCACCGAACTGACTTCCACAAATCGCCTGCATTACAATCTACTGAGAGATCAGGTGATCCGTTTCGTGGACAGAGATTTACGCCTACCCGAAGAACTCAGAAAGGCACAGTTTGAATTTACTCAGCATCTTCCGAATACTATTTCACACCTTATCTGTATTCTCATATTCCACAAATATCAAATTCCCACTCTGACGCCTATTTCGGATGTATCTGCCTAGTCAATTTTATTCACTGTTTCCATTTATTCATGTCAGCATTCATCGAATTGTTGATGTCACGTGGGTTGAAACATTTTCTTGTCAGTGCATTTTTACTCTACGTATTATTGTCAAATATCTGTGTATATATAAATGTATGTAGTCAACACATTTTGATAGAACAAGCTTCGATAATGCATGCTTTCCTATGAAATCACATTTGGACTTATTTTTTTACTATCATTAAATTATCTATATATTTGTTGACAAATGTGCACATAAGTGCATCCTGGCTATTTTCATGTTATCAGCTGTATATTTGTATCTGCATTGTAATACTTGTTTACTCGTACATCACCTGCAGTTCATCCGTTTGTATCTACAATAATTTGTTATTAATAAACTTTTCTTATCTATGTTTTCACACAATATCCATAACCTGTGTCGTCAGCATAATACTGTTTCGAATGCAAATAAATAATTCTTTCAAAAAATTATTTTAATTGGAAGCAATAAAAAAATTGACAAAGAAGTGAAGAAGAGTGCCAGGAAGGACAAAAGACAATTCTACGACAACCTGGCTACTGAAGCTGAGAAGGCAGCAGGCAAAAGGGACCTGAGGACACTATATCAGATAACCAAATCTCTATCCGGGAAGAGATCAACACAAGTGAAACCTATAAAAGACAGCCAAAGGAACCCAATTACCAAAGTAGAAAGACAGATTAAACAATGGGCGGACCACTTCAAAGGACTCTTGAACCGACTTCCACCTACAACCCGTCCAGTAATACCAACAACAGCACGTACACAACTGCAAGTTGACACCAATCCTCCAACGAAAACTGAAGTCATGAATGCAATCAATCTTCTGAAAGCTGGAAAAGCAGCTAGACCAGATGGAATACCCCCGGAAGCACTGAAAGCGGACCCAGAAACGACGGCAGATATGCTGACTCCATTATTGCAAAAGATCTGGAAAGAGGGAAAGGTGCCTACTGACTGGAGGAAAGGTTACCTGGTGAAACTACCAAAGAAGGGCGACCTGGGACTCTGCAAGAACTGGCGAGGAATCATGCTCCTGTCGACGCCAAGTAAAATCCTGAGTCGCATCATCCTGGAGAGAATAAAGGACGCACTGGATACAGAACTCCGTCCAGAACAAGCTGGATTCAGGAAAGGCAAATCATGTTCTGACCAAATTGCAACTCTACGCATCATCATCGAACAAAGCATGGAATGGCAATCAAACCTCTACCTCAACTTCATAGACTTTGAGAAGGCCTTCGACAGCGTTGACCGCGAAGTTATTTGGAAACTACTCGAGTACTACGGCGTACCCCAAATATTCATCAACCTTATTCAACAACTGTACGACAACGGCACATGTCAAGTGATCCACAACGGAAAACTCAGCGAAGCGTTTGGAGTAAACACAGGAGTCAGACAAGGGTGCTTATTATCACCAATGATATTCCTAATTGTGGTGGACTGGATTATGCGTCAGACAGTGGGAAACGAGAAGACAGGGATATCCTGTACCGACGTGAAGAACCTAGAAGACCTGGATTTCGCGGATGATTTATGTTTGATGTCACTCGCACAAAATCGAAGACTTACAAGCGAAAACCGACAAACTGGTCGAAGAGGCTGGCAGCAAAGACAGGACTGCAGGTGAACATAGACAAGACGGAGGTTATGAAAATCACCAACCAACAACAGCAGCAACATCCAGTGCCAATCACCATCAACGGGAGGGATTTGAAAGAGGTTGCTTCTTTCACTTATCTAGGGAGCATCGTCTCAACCACAGGAGGAACGGACGAGGATGTCAAATCGAGAATCGGAAAGGCGAGAAACACATTCATCAACCTGAAACCAATCTGGAAATCTTCATCACTCACCATCAACAACAAAATTCGGATTTTCAATACAAACGTCAAGTCAATTCTGCTTTACGGATCAGAAACTTGGCGGGTCACCAAGAATATTTTCAACAGGTTGCAGACCTTTATCAACAACTGTCTTCGCTCCATACTGAAGATTAGATGGCCAGAAAGAATCACAAACAAGAAGCTATGGGAATAAACGAAACAGGAACCAATCGCCCAACAAATATGCAGGAGATAGTGGAGATGGATTGGACACTCGCTGAGGAGGCCGTTGAGTGACATCGCGCGTCAGGCCCTCGAGTGGAACCCGAAAGGGAAGCGGCGAGTGGGACGTCCAAGGGTGACATGGAGGAGATCGTGTGAGGAGGAGATGAAACAGTATGGAATAACATGGACGCAAGTGAAAAGTACAGCAGAAGACAGAAGCAAGTGGAGACGTGCAGTTGAAGCCCAATGTTCCACTAGGAACCCAAGGGAACAATAATAATAATAAATAAAAAAATTAAAACCACATTTACCTTTTAATGAAACTTAATTTATCCAATGTAAAAAAAGACATTTAATATAAACCATTTTTTTTGTAAATGAACGTCTGAAAAATTAAAAAATTTACCAATCTAATGAAGAGATTGCCAGTTCGTTATAATTCTTTAACAATATAAGCCTACAGCGGACGCCACTCCTTCACAATACTAGTTTGTGTCAGTGCACAACGTTTTCTTAATTTGTTCTGCCTATCCAGATCGCTTCTCTACACCTATTGAATTCCATTCACGAATGGTGAATTGAAACAGTCTGTTCACAAAGCAGTACCATCCTCAGAGTCTTTTTCTGATGATTGCATCTATTTGTGATTGGCGTGATTGTCTACGGACAAGGTGGACGAGAGATTGAAGACGAAAGAAGACAGAAACTGTAATTGTCGACTGCAGGAGGTGACGTCTGCGTTTCAGAAGGACACGACAACCTAGTAGTGATTACAAGCATGTCTGACAGTATGCTGACTGTGCAGTGCAACACTGGTTTCTGCTCACACTATGTGGTTGCTTCATTTGATTTCTGGTCTCCACCGAACTGACTTCCACAAATCACCTGCATTACAATCTACTGAGAGATCAGGTGTTCCCTGACAGGCACAGAGATTTACGCCTACCCGAAGAACTCAGAAAGGCACAGTTTGAATTTACTCAGCATCTTCCGAATACTATTTCAAACCATATATGTATTCTCATATTCCACAAATATCAAATTCCCACTCTGACGCCTATTTCGGTTGCATCTGCCTAGTCAATTTTATTCACTGTTTCCATTTATTCATGTCAGCATTCAGCAAATTGTTGATGTGACGTGTGTTGAAAGATTCGCTCGTCAGTGTGACTGCACTGTCCTTCATATTGTCAAATATATATATGTAAAAATCTTTCGTTTGCATCTTTTCATAGAACAGACATCGATGCTAAATCCATTTGGATGAAAGCACATTTGAACTTATTTTCAATATGATAAAGTTATCTATGTATATGTTGACAAATGTGCACAAAAGTTCATCCTGGCTATTTTCATTTTATCAGCTCTATATTTGTGTTGCATGGTGGTGATTGATAATTCATAATTTCACCAGCATTTTATCGCATGTTTTACAGAATAAATTTCTTACAATGAAATTATTCCTATTCATGTTCTCACACATTATGTAATACCGTGTAGCATCAAAACATATTATGTTAATTACAAATCTATAATTTTATCAAAAAATTATATATTTCATTTCTAGCAATTTAAATAAATTAAAGCAATTTACTTTTGGATTGATCTAAATTTGTGGAGTAGAGAAGAATAAGTTTAAAACGAAATGAATTCATTTGGAATAAATATATTTTAAAAAATAAAAACAATGCCAAATTAACGTAGAGCTTGCGAGCTCATCCTAAATATCTGAAAAAATATACGTACAGCAAATATCACTCCTTCACAATACTAGTTTGTGTCAGTCCACAACGCTTTCATAATTTGTTCTGCCTATCCAGATCGCTTCTCTACACCTATTGAATTCCATTCACGAATGGTGAATTGAAACAGTCTGTTCACAAAGCAGTACCATCCTCAGAGTCTTTTTCTGATGATTGCATCTATTTGTGATTGGCGTGATTGTCTACGGACAAGGTGGACGAGAGATTGAAGACGAAAGAAGACAGAAACTGTAATTGTCGACTGCAGGAGGTGACGTCTGCGTTTCAGAAGGACACGACAACCTAGTAGTGATTACAAGCATGTCTGACAGTATGCTGACTGTGCAGTGCAACACTGGTTTCTGCTCACACTATGTGGTTGCTTCATTTGATTTCTGGTCTCCACCGAACTGACTTCCACAAATCGCCTGCATTACAATCTACTGAGAGATCAGGTGTTCCCTGACAGGCACAGAGATTCACGCCTACCTGAACTACTTAGAAAGGCACAGTTTGTATTCACTCAACATCTTCCGAATACTATTTCACACCTTATCTGTATTCTCATATTCCACAAATATGAAATTCCCACTCTGACGCCTATTTCGGTTGCATCTGCTTAGTCAATTTTATTCACTGTTTCCATTTATTCATGTCAGCATTCATCAATTTTTTTAGGTAAATTGGGTTCATAGATTTTGTCGTTATTGTATTTCCACTCTCAATAATATTACAATACATAAACATATATTTTCAGTCAACATATTTTGATAGGACAGACTTCGATACTACATGTATTCGGATGAAAGCACATTTTGACTTCTTTTCAATATGATGAAGTTATCTATGTATATGTTGACAAATGTGCACAAAATTTCATCCTGGCTATTTTCATGTTATCACCTCTATATTTGTACATGCATGGTGATACATCTTTACTCATACTTTCACCAGCAGTTTACCGGATTTTGTCCACAAGAACATATTTGCAAATAAATCATTCGAATTACTTATTACGCAACATGTGGGAAGACCTGGATTATTGATTTAGAATGTGTTTGCTTGATGAATAATGGTTTAGGACAAAATTCACCGATGCTCAAAACAAATGATATACATACATTTACTTACCATATCTGCATTCATTATCTCGCATTGCTATAAACAAACGAAATTGTGATGTTATGTATTACATTAGAAATACAGACACAAAAAGGATAAAATAAAATTAAAACAGTAGGAGCATTAGGTATTTAAGATTTGCTCTGTGACGACAAAAGGATACAGCGAATATCACCGCTCCACATTAAGAGTTTGTGTCAGTCCACAACGCTTTCATAATTTGTTCTGCCTATCCAGATCGCGTCTCTACACCTATTGAATTCCATTCACGAATGGTGAATTGAAACAGTCTGTTCACAAAGCAGTACCATCCTCAGAGTCTTTTTCTGATGATTGCATCTATTTGTGATTGGCGTGATTGTCTACGGACAAGGTGGACGAGAGATTGAAGACGAAAGAAGACAGAAACTGTAATTGTCGACTGCAGGAGGTGACGTCTGCGTTTCAGAAGGACACGACAACCTAGTAGTGATTACAAGCATGTCTGACAGTATGCTGACTGTGCAGTGCAACACTGGTTTCTGCTCACACTATGTGGTTGCTTCATTTGATTTCCGGTCCCCACCGAACTGACTTCCACAAATCGCCTGCATTACAATCTACTGAGAGATCAGATGTTCCGTTATAGGCACAAAGAGTTACTCCTACCCGAAGAATTTAGAAAGGCACAGTTTGAATTTACTCAGCGTCTTTCGAATACTATTTCACACCTTATCTGTATTCTCATATTCCACAAATATGAAATTCCCACTCTGACGCCTATTTCGGTTGCGTCTGCCTAGTCAATTTTATTCACTGTTTCCATTTATTCATGTCAGCACTCATCAAATTGTTGATGTCACGTGGGTTGAAACATTTTCACGTCAGTTTATCTTTGCTCTCATTTATTTTGTTATACATATAAATATATTTAGTCAACACATTTTGATAGAACACACTTCGATGCTACATGCATTTGTATAAAAGGACATTTGGACTTATTTTGAATATGATAATATTATCTATGAATATGTTTACAAATGTTCACAAAATTTCATCCTTGCTATTTTCTTGTTAGCAGCTGTGTATTTGTAATTGCAATATGAGGCTTGTTTACTCATATTTTCAACAGCTTTTTATCGGTTGTTATCCATATTAGCTCAGATGTTATCATATTATACGGATCGATGTATACACACAACTCATCTAAAAACCTATATTTGTGTTATTTTTTTGTTCTTTCCTAGGAGAAATTTTATTAACACAGACCGAGATATTTGAAACGTTAAAAAATATAGAAATATAAATTTACTGGTTAAGCAGCCTTCGTGTTTTTCATTGAGAAAAGAAATAAATTTAATAAAACTTAATTAAAAACGAAAAAATAACGCAAAAAGATAGAATCATTTTAAAGATAAGGAATAACTCGACTGTTCATTCTCTATTTATGACGACACATGTATACAGCGAATAACACTCCTTCACATTAATAGTTTGTGCCAGTTCACAACGCTTTCATAATTTGTTCTGCCTATCCAGATCGCTTCTCTAAACCTGTTGAATTCCATTCACGAATGGTGAATTGAAACAGTCTGTTCACAAAGCAGTACCATCCTCAGAGTCTTTTTCTGATGATTGCATCTATTTGTGATTGGCGTGATTGTCTACGGACAAGGTGAACGAGAGATTGAAGACGAAGGAAGACAGAAACTGTAATTGTCGACTGCAGGAGGTGACGTCTGCGTTTCAGAAGGACACGACAACCTAGTAGTGATTACAAGCATGTCTGACAGTATGCTGACTGTGCAGTGCAACACTGGTTTCTGCTCACACTATGTGCTTGCTTCATTTGATTTCTGGTCTCCACCGAACTGACTTCCACAAATCGCCTGCATTACAATCTACTGAAAGATCAGGTGTTCCCTGACAGGCACAGAGATTTACGCCTACCCGAAGAACTCAGAAAGGCACAGTTTGAATTTACTCAGCATCTTCCGAATACTATTTCACACCTTATCTGTATTCTCATATTCCACAAATATGAAATTCCCAATCTGACGCCTATTTCGGTTGCATCTGCCTAGTCAATTTTATTCACTGTTTCCATTTATTCATGTCAGCACTCATCAAATTGTTGATGTCACGTGGGTTGATAGATTCTCTCGTCAGTGTTACTTCACTCTGCACAATATTGTGATATGTATATATAGATTTATTTGATCAACACATATTGATAGAACTGACTTCGATGCTACATATATTCGGATGAAAGCACAGTTTGACTTATTTTCAATATGATAGAATTGTCTATGTATATGTTGACAAATGTGCACAAAGTTCATCCTGGCTATTTTCATGTAATCAGCTGTATATTTGTACTTTCATGTTGATACATCTTTCCTCGTACTTCCACCAGCAGTTTATTGGATTTATCCAAAATAACTACGTTGTAAACAATTTATTCGGATCTATGTTCTGACATTACGTTGGAAACACTATGGAGGAAATACTTTGCGTTTCTCTTGCCGAGATAATAGTTTAATCACAAAAACCTGATTAATAAAACAAAAATCTATTTAGGAACATGAATATACCTTTTTCACATTCTTCGAGTTTTGTGTTGACAAAAGAAATAAAAATAAATTCAACTGGATTAGTTCAGAAGAAATATGTGAAAAAAGATGAAATTGGAAAAAATACAAATCAGTACATCTCAGTAAAGCCCATCTGTGTTAGGACATAGACATACACCAAATAACACTCCTTCACAATATTAGTTTGTGTCACTCCACAACGCTTTCATAAATTGTTCTGCATATCCTGATCGGTTCCTTACACCTATTGAATTCCATTCACGAATGGTGAATTGAAACAGTCTGTTCACAAAGCAGTACCATCCTCAGAGTCTTTTTCTGATGATTGCATCTATTTGTGATTGGCGTGATTGTCTACGGACAAGGTGAACGAGAGATTGAAGACGAAAGAAGACAGAAACTGTAATTGTCGACTGCAGGAGGTGACGTCTGCGTTTCAGAAGGACACGACAACCTAGTAGTGATTACAAGCATGTCTGACAGTATGCTGACTGTGCAGTGCAACACTGGTTTCTGCTCACACTATGTGGTTGCTTCATTTGATTTCCGGTCCCCACCGAACTGACTTCCACAAATCGCCTGCATTACAATCTACTGAGAGATCAGGTGTTCCGTTATGGGCACAGAGATTTACGCCTACCCGAAGAACTCAGAAAGGCACAGTTTGAATTTACTCAGCATCTTCCGAATACTATTTCACACCATATCTGTATTTTCATATTCCACAAATATCAAATTCACATTCTGACGCCTATTTCGGATGCATCTGCCTAGTCATATATATTCACTGTTTACGCTTATTGCTGTCAGCACTCATGAAATTGTTGATGTCACGTGTGTTGGAAATTATCGCGTCAGTGTCACTTCAATCTCCGTAATATTGTAAAACATATTTTTTTTTCAGTGAACATTTTTTGATAGAAGAGATTTGGATACTGCATGATTTCGGATGGAAGCCTATTTGGACTTATTCTCAACATGATGAAATTATCTATGCATATGTTGACAAATGTGCGCATAAGTTCATCCTGGCTATTTTCATTTAGCCAGCTGTGTATTTGTACTTGCATGCTGATAATTCTTTACTCATACTTTCACCACCAGTTTATCGGAATTTATTCACAATAACTTTGTTGTAAGTAATAGTTTCGGAAACATGTTCGCGCACAATACATCGAGCCATGGCGAGACAAAATTTCAGTATGCTGCTTCCGAGAATACATTTCCATAACTTTTAGAGATATTATTGAAATTTTATTACATAAAGCGAAATAGTTTACCTTCTCTAAGGGCATCGTCTGATATATTAACGAAAGTAATAAAAATATATTGATATCAATTGATTACGAATACATAAATGACCAGATAACATCCCCAATAAGCTAACGATAAACACGCAGTTCAGGCTCTATTCCCAACGATCTGCCACAAAGCGAATATCACTCCTTCACAATACTAGGTTGTGTCAGTCCACAACGTTTTCATAATTTGTTCTGCCTATCCAGATCGCGTCTCTACACCTATTGAATTCCATTCACGAATGGTGAATTGAAACAGTCTGTTCACAAAGCAGTACCATCCTCAGAGTCTTTTTCTGATGATTGCATCTATTTGTGATTGGCGTGATTGTCTACTGACAAGGTGGACGAGAGATTGAAGCCGAAAGAAGACAGAAACTGTAATTGTCGACTGCAGGAGGTGACGTCTGCGTTTCAGAAGGACACGACAACCTAGTAGTGATTACAAGCATGTCTGACAGTATGCTGACTGTGCAGTGCAACACTGGTTTCTGCTCACACTATGTGGTTGCTTCATTTGATTTCTGGTCTCCACCGAACTGACTTCCACAAATCGCCTGCATTACAATCTACTGAGAGATCAGGTGTTCCGTTATGGGCACAGAGATTTACGCCTACCCGAAGAACTCAGAAAGGCACAGTTTGAATTTACTCAGCATCTTCCGAATACTACTTCACACCTTATCTGTATTCTCATATTCCACAAATATGAAATTCTCACTCTGACGCCTATTTCGGTTGCATCTGCCTAGTCAATTTTATTCACTGTTTCCATTTATTCATGTCAGCACTCATCAAATTGTTGATGTCACGTGGGTTGAAACATTTTCACGTCAGTTTATCTTCGCTCTCATTAATATTGTTACACAAATACATATATTTCAGTCAACACATTTTGAAAAAACAGACTTCGATACTACATGCATTTGGATGAAAGCACATTTGGACTTATTTTCAATATGATAAAATTATCTATGAATATGTTGACAAATGTGCACAAAGTTCATCCTGGCTATTTTCATGTAATCAGCTGTATATTTGTACTTTCATCGTGATGCTTTTTTAGTCATAATTTTACCAGCAGTATTTTCGGTTTTTATCCAGAATAACTTTATTCTATTCTTATTATTTGGATCCAACTTTTTACACCAAGTTATATGACCTAGATTGATAAGTATTTAATATTCCTGTTGCTAATAATTACTGTTGTATGAATATTGATTTAAGTAAATATCAAAAAATAGAGCAAAAAATCTTACCGTCATCAAAGACTGTGGGTTATTCATTGAGTAATGAAATAAGCTTTAATTCAATGTATTTATTCAGAAAAATATAATGGCAAAAGACAAAATCACTAGCCAGGTAAAGAATATCTTGACAGCTGATACAATATTTCTGACGACAAAAGAATACAGCGAACACGACTTCTTCAAAATAACAATTTGTGTCAGGGTACAACGTTTCCATAATTTGTTCTGCCTATCCTGATCGCTTCTCTACACCTATTGAATTCCATTCACGAATGGTGAATTGAAACAGTCTGTTCACAAAGCAGCACCATCCTCAGAGTCTTTTTCTGATGATTGCATCTATTTGTGATTGGCGTGATTGTCTACGGACAAGGTGAACGAGAGATTGAAGACGAAAGAAGACAGAAACTGTAATTGTCGACTGCAGGAGGTGACGTCTGCGTTTCAGAAGGACACGTCAACCTAGTAGTGATTACAAGCATGTCTGACAGTATGCTGACTGTGCAGTGCACACCGGTTTCTGCTCACACTATGTGGTTGCTTCATTTGATTTCCGGTCCCCACCGAACTGACTTCCACAAATCGCCTGCATTACAATCTACTGAGAGATCAGGTGTTCCGTGACAGGCACAGAGATTTACGCCTACCCGAACAACTCAGAAAGGCACAGTTTGAATTTACTCAGCATCTTCCGAATACTATTTCACACCATATCTGTATCCTCATATTCCACAAATATGAAATTCCCACTCTGACGCCTATTTCGGTTGCATCTGCCTAGTCAATTTTATTCACTGTTTTCATTTATTCATGTCAGCATTCATCGAATTGTTGATGTCACGTGTGTTGAAAGATTCTCTCGTCAGTGTATTTTCACTCTGCCTAATAATGTAATACGTATATATATGTGTATGTAAATATATGTAATTATATATATATACATATATATATATATATATTTAGTCAACACATTTAGATAGAACAGACTTCGATACTATATGCATTCGGCTGAAAGCACGTCTGGAGTCATCTTCAATATGATGAAATTATTCATGTATATGTTGACAAATGTGCACAAAATTTCATCCTGGCTATTTTCATATTATCAGCTGTATATTTTTACTAAAAAGGTGGTACTTCATTACTCATAATTTCACCAGCAATTTTTTGTTTGCTTTCTGCAATAACGTTTTTAAAAATAATTTTTCTGATCCGTGTTCACACACACTGTGTCTACCACAAGGAAGACAAAATTTCAGCATACTCCTTCCGAGAATGTATTTCGATATTTATTTATGATATTTTTGAATATATAAAACATATATAAGATGAAACTTTACTTGATCCACAGCCTTCGTGTGACACATTGAGAACAGTAATGCAATTCAATTGAAATAAATTGTTTACGAACAAATTATTGTAAGGATAACATCAAAATAAATTTGAACAAAAACTACATAATAATTCTCAATCTCATACGACATAGGCATCCAGCGAAAATCAATCCTTCACAATACTAGTTTGTGTCAGTCCACAACGCTTTCATAATTTGTTCTGCATATCCTGATCGCTTCTCTACACCTATTGAATTCCATTCATGAATGGTGAATTGAAACAGTCTGTTCACAAAGCAGTACCATCCTCAGAGTCTTTTTCTGATGATTGCATCTATTTGTGATTGGCGTGATTGTCTACGGACAAGGTGGACGAGAGATTGAAGACGAAAGAAGACAGAAACTGTAATTGTCGACTGCAGGAGGTGACGTCTGCGTTTCAGAAGGACACGACAACCTAGTAGTGATTACAAGCATGTCTGACAGTATGCTGACTGTGCAGTGCAACACTGGTTTCTGCTCACACTATGTGGTTGCTTCATTTGATTTCTGGTCTCCACCGAACTGACTTCCACAAATCGCCTGCATTACAATCTACTGAGAGATCAGGTGTTCCGTTATGGGCACAGAGATTTACGCCTACCCGAACAACTCAGAAAGGCACAGTTTGAATTTACTCAGCATCTTCCGAATACTATTTCACACCTTATCTGTATTCTCATATTCCACAAATATCAAATTCCCACTCTGACGCCTATTTCAGGTGCATCTGCCTAGTCAATTTTATTCACTGTTTCCATTTATTCATGTCAGCATTCATCGAATTGTTGATAACACGTGGGCTGATAGATTCTCTCGTCAGTGTGACTTCACTGTCCGTCATATTGTCAAATATATAAATAAATATATTTCTTCAACACCTTTACATCGAAGAGACATCGATGCTTCATGCATTCGGATAATGGCACATTTAGACTTATTTTCAATATGATAAAATTATCTATGTATATGTTGACAAATGTACACATAAGTTCATCCTGGCGATTTTCATGTTATCACCTCCATATTTGTACTTGCATGCTGATACATCTTTACTCGTACTTTCACCAGCAGTTTTTCGGTTGTTATGCCGATAAACTTTGTTATAAACTAATTCTCGTGTTCATGATAACACAACATTTTTTAGCTATTTATTTCTAACTAACATAATTGATCAACGATGCAAGTAAATCATATTGAAATGAATACACATAAGCACATAAATTAAACAAACTTTTCACATACCACCCTTGCAACTCTTTAATTCTTTACACCGTTGGGGAACGTAAAGAAACGACAAGATTTACATGAGTACATATTGAAGGGAAAATTAAATAATAAAAATGCAATGCAAGAATTTGACAGTGGATTGTATCTCTGTGTAGATTAAGGTATAGAGCGAACATCACTCCTTCAAAATACTTGTTTGTGTCAGTCCACAACGTTTCCAAAATTTATTCTGCCTACCCAGATCGCGTCTCTACACCTATTGAATTCCATTCACGAATGGTGAATTGAAACAGTCTGTTCACAAAGCAGTACCATCCTCAGAGTCTTTTTCTGATGATTGCATCTATTTGTGATTGGCGTGATTGTCTACGGACAAGGTGGACGAGAGAGTGAAGCCGAAAGAAGACAGAAACTGTAATTGTCGACTGCAGGAGGTGACGTCTGCGTTTCAGAAGGACACGACAACCTAGTAGTGATTACAAGCATGTCTGACAGTATGCTGACTGTGCAGTGCAACACTGGTTTCTGCTCACACTATGTGGTTGCTTCATTTGATTTCTGGTCTCCACCGAACTGACTTCCACAAATCGCCTGCATTACAATCTACTGAGAGATCAGGTGTTCCGTTATGGGCACAGAGATTTACGCCTACCCGAACAACTCAGAAAGGCACAGTTTGAATTTACTCAGCATCTTCCGAATACTATTTCACACCTTATCTGTATTCTCATATTCCACAAATATCAAATTCCCACTCTGACGCCTATATCGGATGCATCTGTCTAGTCAATTTTATTCACTGTTTCCATTTATTCATGTCAGCATTCATCGAATTGTTGATAACACGTGGGCTGATAGATTCTCTCGTCAGTGCATTTCTACTCTACGTAATTTAATAATATATATATATATGTATTTTTCTTGATATTTTTAGTCAACATAATTTGATAGAACAGAATTCGATACTACATGTATTCGTATGAAAGCAGATTTTGAGTTATTTTCAATATGATAAAATTATTTAGGGATATATTGACAAATGTTCACAAACCTTAATCCTGGCTACTTTTATGTTATCAGCTCTATATTTCTACTTGCATAATGATAATTGGTTACTCATACTTTCACCAGGATTTTATAGGTTTATATACAGATTAATATTTGATAAATGAATCTTTCGAATCTCTGATTTTAACGCATGTACATGCGGAAAATATTTAAGCAGTTAAGCTACGTTTTCATTAAAATATTTAAGATAAATTTACAGATGATACAAAAAATACAAATTAAAAAAAACATTTTATACCGTCATTGCAGAACCCAACTATAAATTTATCAAAATCACATTGCATTTAGAAATAATTTTTATAAAAATTAAACGAAAAAAATATAACATCATTTGCAAGCTGACGAAAATCTGCGGCGTTCATTCTAAATATCTGACGATATAGTCAAAGAGCGAATATCACCCCTTCAAAATACTTGTTTGTGTCAGTCCACAACGTTTTCATAATTTGTTCTGCCTATCCAGATCGCTTCTCTACACCTATTGAATTCCATTCACGAATGGTGAATTGAAACAGTCTGTTCACAAAGCAGTACCATCCTCAGAGTCTTTTTCTGATGATTGCATCTATTTGTGATTGGCGTGATTGTCTACGGACAAGGTGGACGAGAGATTGAAGACGAAAGAAGACAGAAACTGTAATTGTCGACTGCAGGAGGTGACGTCTGCGTTTCAGAAGGACACGTCAACCTAGTAGTGATTACAAGCATGTCTGACAGTATGCTGACTGTGCAGTGCAACACTGGTTTCTGCTCACACTATGTGGTTGCTTCATTTGATTTCTGGTCTCCACCGAACTGACTTCCACAAATCGCCTGCATTACAATCTACTGAGAGATCAGGTGTTCCGTTATGGGCACAGAGATTTACGCCTACCCGAAGAACTCAGAAAGGCACAGTTTGAATTTACTCAGCATCTTCCGAATACTATTTCACACCTTATCTGTATTCTCATATTCCACAAATATCAAATTCCCACTCTGACGCCTATTTCGGATGCATCTGCCTAGTCAATTTTATTCACTGTTTCCATTTATTCATGTCAGCATTCATCGAATTGTTGATGTTACGAGGGTTGAAAATTATCGCGTCAGTGTGTCTTCGCTCTCTTTTTATTATTATACATATATATATATATGAATATATATATATGTTTATATTTAGTCAACACATATTGATAGAACAGACTACGATACTGCATGCATTGGGATGAAATTGCACTATGACTTATTTTCAATATGATAAAATTATCAATGTATATGTTGACAAATGTGCACATAAGTGCATCCTGGCTATTTTCATATTATTAGCTGTATATTTGTACTAGCACGGTGATACTTGTTTACTCGTACTTTCAACAACAGTTTTTCGTTTTTTATGCAAAATATCTTTGTTTTAAATAGAAAATTCGGATCCTTTTCCAAACAAGATTTTATAGCAACTAGAATGAGAATGCTTTAGGATTAATCTCACAAGAACATATAATAATCACGAAATTCATTTGAAAGTTTATTAAAAAATATTGATCATTTAAAATTTACTTGTATCACACACTGCCATTTTGAGGAATGCAAAGAAATTTATGTTTTCTTGACAATATTTCAATAGTATAAATAAATGGTTAAAGAAATAATTATTACCAAGCTCACCAATAGAATGCCACATCAGTGTTTCTCTTTCAAGACAAAGCCATACACCAAATAACACTCCTTCACAATACTACTTTGTGTCAGTCCACAACGCTTTCATAATTTGTTCTGCCTATCCAGATCGCTTCTCTACACCTATTGAATTCCATTCACGAATGGTGAATTGAAACAGTCTGTTCACAAAGCAGCACCATCCTCAGAGTCTTTTTCTGATGATTGCATCTGTTTGTGATTGGCGTGATTGTCTACTGACAAGGTGGACGAGAGATTGAAGCCGAAGGAAGACAGAAACTGTAATTATCGACTGCAGGAGGTGACGTCTGCGTTTCAGAAGGACACGACAACCTAGTAGTGATTACAAGCATGTCTGACAGTATGCTGACTGTGCAGTGCAACACTGGTTTCTGCTCACACTATGTGGTTGCTTCATTTGATTTCTGGTCTCCACCGAACTGACTTCCACAAATCGCCTGCATTACAATCTACTGAGAGATCAGGTGTTCCCTGACAGGCACAGAGATTTACGCCTACCCGAACAACTCAGAAAGGCACAGTTTGAATTTACTCAGCATCTTCCGAATACTATTTCACACCATATCTGTATTTTCATATTCCACAAATATCAAATTCACATTCTGACGCCTATTTCGGTTGCATCTGCCTAGTCAATTTTATTCACTGTTTCCATTTATTCATGTCAGTATTCATCGAATTGTTGATGTCACGTGGGTTGATAGATTCTCCCTTCAGTGTACCTTCACTCTGCACAATATTGTGATATGTATATATAGATTTATTTAATCAACACTTTTTGATGGATCAGACTTCGATACTGCAGTCATTTGGATGAATGCTCACTTTGACTTTTTTAATATATGATAAAATTATCCATGTATATGCTGACAAATGTGCACAAAGTTCATCCTGGCTATTTTTTTGTTGTCAGCTGTATATTTGTTTTTGCATGGTGATACTTGTTTACTCATACTTTCACCAGCAGCTTATCGATTGTTATCCGCAATAACTATGTTTTGATTGAATTATTCTTATTCATGTTAAAAATCTATTTATTTGTTACAAAATTGCCTACTTATTTTGATGGTTATATTAATACATTTTCAAATGTGTTCCCACAAAATTTCAGATATAAAATATTATCAATAATTCTTACATTCTTTGCAGTTTGCATATGCTAAAAACAGAAAATAAACAAAAACGAATTCTGATGATTTCTTTTAAAAAACTATACGAATAAACAAACAATATTACCAGGATAACGAAACACTGGCAGCTCATTCTAAGTCTTTGAAAACAAAGGAAAACAGCGAATATCAGTCCTTCACAATACTAGTTTGTGTCAGTCCACAACGTTTTCATAATTTGTTGTGCCTATCCAGATCGCTTCTCTACACCTATTGAATTCCATTCACGAATGGTGAATTGAAACAGTCTGTTCACAAAGCAGTACTATCCTCAGAGTCTTTTTCTGATGATTGCGTCTATTTGTGATTGGCGTGATTGTCTACGGACAAGGTGGACGAGAGAGTGAAGCCGAAAGAAGACAGAAACTGTAATTGTCGACTGCAGGAGGTGACGTCTGCGTTTCAGAAGGACACGACAACCTAGTAGTGATTACAAGCATGTCTGACAGTATGCTGACTGTGCAGTGCAACACTGGTTTCTGCTCACACTATGTGGTTGCTTCATTTGATTTCTGGTCTCCACCGAACTGACTTCCACAAATCGCCTGCATTACAATCTACTGAGAGATCAGGTGTTCCCTGACAGGCACAGAGATTTACGCCTACCCGAACAACTCAGAAAGGCACAGTTTGAATTTACTCAGCATCTTCCGAATACTATTTCACACCTTATCTGTATTCTCATATTCCACAAATATCAAATTCCCACTCTGACGCCTATTTCGGTTGCATCTGCCTAGTCAATTTTATTCACTGTTTCCATTTATTCATGTCAGCATTCATCAAATTGTTGATATCACGTGTGTTGAAATATTCACTCGTCAGTGTTTCTTCACTTCGTAATATTGTAATACATATATATATGTAAATATTTATATATATATATGTATATTTAGTCAGCATATTTTGATAGAACAGACCTCGATACTACATGCATTGGGATGAAAGTGCACTATGACTTATTTTCAATATGATAAAATTATCTATGTATATGTTGAGAAATGTGCACAAAGTTCATTCTGGCTATTTTCATGTTATCAGCTCTACATTTGTTCTTGTATGATGATACTTGTTTACTCATACTTTCACCAGCAGTTTATCGGTTGTTATCCACTATAAATTTGTTCAAAATATATTATGCTATTTCATGTTCGGGCCTAATTTTACAGGCAATTGATTGTCAACTTCTTTTCATGACACTCGCTGATATATAGTTCTTAATCTTATCACGCTTTAATAGGAAAATATTATAAGACATTTGCTTACTTTTCTTGCAGTATTCTTGAAGTGCAGTAGAAAATAAAAAAATTTCATTAAAACTTGGCCCTACAAGAACTAAAGAAATCAAATAATATCATTCGCAAATCAAGAAAAAATTGCCACTTCACTATCTCCATATGACGTCAGGCTCACAGCAAATAACACTCCTTCAAAATACTTGTTTGTGTCAGTCCACAACGTTTTCATAATTTGTTCTGCCTATCCAGATCGCTTCTCTACACCTATTGAATTCCATTCACGAATGGTGAATTGAAACAGTCTGTTCACAAAGCAGTACCATCCTCAGAGTCTTTTTCTGATGATTGCATCTGTTTGTGATTGGCGTGATTGTCTACTGACAAGGTGGACGAGAGATTGAAGCCGAAAGAAGACAGAAACTGTAATTGTCGACTGCAGGAGGTGACGTCTGCGTTTCAGAAGGACACGACAACCTAGTAGTGATTACAAGCATGTCTGACAGTATGCTGACTGTGCAGTGCAACACTGGTTTCTGCTCACACTATGTGGTTGCTTCATTTGATTTCTGGTCTCCACCGAACTGACTTCCACAAATCGCCTGCATTACAATCTACTGAGAGATCAGGTGTTCCGTTATGGGCACAGAGATTTACGCCTACCCGAACAACTCAGAAAGGCACAGTTTGAATTTACTCAGCATCTTCCGAATACTATTTCACACCTTATCTCTATTCTCATATTCCACAAATATCAAATTCCCACTCTGACGCCTATTTCGGATGCATCTGCCTAGTCAATTTTATTAACTGTTTCCATTTATTCATGTCAGCACTCATCAAATTGTTGATGTCACGTGGGTTGATAGATTCTCTCGTCAGTGTAACTTCACTCTGCACAATATTGTGATATATATATATATTTATTTGATGAGCACATATTGATAGAACAGACTTCGGTGCTACATGCATTCTGATGAAAGCTCATTTGGACTTATTTTCAATATGATAGAATTATCTATGTATATGTTGAGAAATGTGCACAAAAGTTCATCCTGGCTATTTTCATGTAATCAGCTCTATATTTGTACTTGCATGGTGATACTTTTTACTCATATTTTCACCAGCAGTTTATGGGTTTTTATCCACATTAACTTCGTTATAGATAAATGGTTCGCATCCTTGTTCACACACACACACACTTTATTTGTTACCGAATTGTTAACTATGGAGAGTTTTATTCCTCCAAATTCATTAAATATCAAAGGCGGTTATTCGTATTACATTTTATTTTAAACAATATTTATTTACCTTCAATGCAGGTTTTCACTATAATATTTCGTTAAAAATATATCTTTTAATTTGCTTCACATTCAAAATATTTCATGATGAAAGATGAATTCATTCCCCACCTTACGAATAACTTGCCAGTTCATTCTCTATCTCTGACAACATAGGCACACAGCGAATATCAGTCCTTCACAATACTGGTTTGTGTCAGTCCACAACGTTTTCATAATTTGTTGTGCCTATCCTGATCGCTTCTCTACACCTATTGAATTCCATTCACGAATGGTGAATTGAAACAGTCTGTTCACAAAGCAGTACTATCCTCAGAGTCTTTTTCTGATGATTGCATCTGTTTGTGATTGGCGTGATTGTCTACTGACAAGGTGGACGAGAGATTGAAGCCGAAGGAAGACAGAAACTGTAATTATCGACTGCAGGAGGTGACGTCTGCGTTTCAGAAGGACACGACAACCTAGTAGTGATTACAAGCATGTCTGACAGTATGCTGACTGTGCAGTGCAACACTGGTTTCTGCTCACACTATGTCGTTGCTTCATTTGATTTCCGGTCTCCACCGAACTGACTTCCACAAATCGCCTGCATTACAATCTACTGAGAGATCAGGTGTTCCGTTATGGGCACAGAGATTTACGCCTACCCGAACAACTCAGAAAGGCACAGTTTGAATTTACTCAGCATCTTCCGAATACTATTTCACACCATATCTGTATCCTCATATTCCACAAATATGAAATTCCCACTCTGACGCCTATTTCGGTTGCATCTGTCTAGTCAATTTTATTCACTGTTTCCATTTATTCATGTCAGCATTCATGAAATAGTTGATGTCACGTGGGTTGATAGATTCTCTCGTCAGTGTAACTTCACTCTGCACAATATTATGATATGTATATATAGATTTATTTGATCAACACATATTGATAGAACTGACTTCGATACTACATGCTTTCGGATGAAAGCACACTTTGACTTATTTTAATATGATAGAATTATCTATGTATATGTTGAGAAATGTGCACAAAATTTCATCCTGTCTATTTTCATGTTATCAGCTGTATATTTGTATTTGCATGGTGATACTTGTTTACTCATACTTTCACCAGCAGTTTGTCGGTTTATATCCAAAATAACTTTTTTATGAAGTAATTTTTCGAATCCCTGTTCACACACCATTTTTCAAGGCCTATATTTTCAACCTGTTTTGATGCTGCTAGCTTAAATTATTTTATGAAAACAATCCATTATAATATATAGTAAATATTTTGAAAATATCAATTTACATTTTGTTTTGTCTTCAGCTTTTTGATTGAGGAATAAAATAAAATATTATTGAATTGAATTTATTATAACAAATTCATGATAACAGATAAAATCTTTTTCAAGCTCACGAAGAACTTGCCCGTTCATTCTCTATCTGTGACGACATAGGCATACTGCGAATATCACTCCTTCACAATACTATATATATGTCTGATTTTCCACAAACTTTAAGATATGCAAGCGGAAATCAACAAGTTGGTAGAAGAAGCATCGAAGATAGTACTTCAGGTAAACATAGAGTAGATAGATGTGATGAAGATTCCTTGGCAACACCATCAACAGCAACAACGACAACAACAGACAATAATCAGCATAAATGGGAGGAACCTGAAAGAAACGACCTCTTTTACCTACCGACCTGGGAAGCATCGTTTCAACTACAGGCACACGGAACTGACGAGGATATCAAAGCAAGAATCGGAAAAGCAAGAAAAGCTTTCAATACTCTCAAGTCTGTGTGGATGTCAACAGCACTCGGCGTGAAAAATAAGATCCGGATTTTCAAATCCAATGTGAAGTCAGTGCTACTCACTATACGGTTCAGAGACTTGCACTGCACGTCATAAAGAGCATCTCAAACAAACTACAGACCTTCATTAACAGTTGTCGTTGCTCAATACTCAAGATCAGATAGCCGGCCAGAAAAGATCAGCAACAGAGATCTCTGGGAGCGAACCAACCAGTAGCTGGCTGTGAAACAAATAGGCAGGAAGGAATGGAGATGGATTGGCCATACTCTGAGGAAACCATCAAGTGACATCACTAGACATGCCTTTGATTAGAAACCTAAAGGGAAGCGGCGAGTTGGTCGTCCAAGTGTGACTTGAAGGAGGTCATGTGAAGAGGAGATGAAAACGTGTGGGCAGACTTGAAGCCAGGTGAAGACTCTAGCAGAGAACCGAACGCAATGGAGACGCACGACTGAAGCCCTATGTTCTTCTAGGAGTTAAAGGATACAATAATAATAATAATACAATACTAGTTTGTGTCAATGCACAACGTTTTCATAATTTGTTGTGCCTATCCAGATCGGTTCTGTACACGTATTGAATTTTATTTACGAATGGTGAGTTGAAACATTCTTTTATGAAAGCAGTACCAATCTTTTAGTCTTTGTATTGGTCGCATCAATATGTATTTCTCATGATTGTCTACTTCTCTTTGGATCGCTTCTAATGAAGCTATCCTAATAAGATTCTTATTCTCAGATTTTTCTGTTAATATGCTTTTTGTTGCTTTTTTCTTGCTTATCTTTTTCAGATGTTCCTAATTGCATTAATAATATATATATCAGTTAATTTCCTTATTTCTTCAACCAATATTTTAATTTTTTATCGTTTTACTTGTAAATTTATTTCCCTGATGTGTGATTATTCAATCTCCAAGCTACAGCCATTTTCTCTGTGAAAAACTTTGACTTCTTCAACTGGATAATATGTCACTTAACATTTATGTGCATTATAGATTTTCAAAATGCTGTGGAATTCCATCTCTCAAATAATTGCATAAATGTTTCTATTTTATGCTATGTAGAATCGTGTTTTTATAAAAACAAAATTAAGTTAAGATTTTCAATCTATTGAGAGCAGTTCAGTTATTCACATAACTAATATTTCTGCCAAAGTTGACTATTTGCACAGTTTTATATGAGGCTTGTGCATATTTCATGAATGCGGTGGATTGATCACCTGGTAATACATTTCATACTGTTCGTTCAAATACGTGAATTTATTGCTGAATGTGATTTGAGAGGGGCGGATGAAAACAGGTGTGATATTCTCTAATGTCTTTTGTTCAGAATTGGAGAATGATATCTAATTTCAGTAATGATGTGTTTTACTAAAAGTGTTTTGGTCATTCAAACCATACAGCGTGATAGTCTTTAGTTTACTGTTGCATCGCTATCCTTAAGCTGGACGTCTGTAGTTTAGCGTTTTATTTGACTAAGTGTTAACACTATAAAGGACCGTAGTGACCATAAATCTACCCATGTCATTAGCAAATCAGTTATATTCCTAAGGCTAAACGTTAACAGCGATAAATAATTTGCTGGAATGAAAGTCACTACAAGTCTGCATTAAAAGGTTTAACATTATCATAGAAATGTGTAGAGTTGTTCTCATTTACTTCATACTAAATCAAATATTAGAAGGACTAAAATCACACTAGCATGAACAGTGTTATTTATGCACTCAAGAATAACACCTTCACCTAATTAGAGTGTTAGATTAGTGTCCAAGCAATGATTTGGACGGTTTCAGCTGTATTTCCCGTCCTCTTCACAATTTTAGTGGTTATGCTTATCAAAGTATTACAGTATTTAATGGTGAACATATTGGCTAATATGAAACTTATTTAATCAATCTCTGATCAATGCACATATATAAATGTTCATGAGGTTTCCACTATTCCGTGGAATATATTATAAGTTTGTCTTGAACTGTTTCTATCATGGTATTCGCAATATCTACAATGTCTGCTGTTGACATAATCAACCAATTTCATAGAATTAATCAGAAACACGTACATGTAAACTCAAATTACACAGCTCAATATAACCTATGTAAATCAGTTCAACTTTGACAACATTGGGGTTTCAGTAAAGTGACAATGAAATTTAAAAAGTAATACGCCAAAACTGCTTTGAATATGTCAAATTCTACTTGAAACAATAATAATCACATAAAATTGTACTTACATGCTTCGCTTGGCTTGATGAATATTGTGAATGCTTGAACGATCAACAACAGCGCACAGAACTTCATCATCATCTTCTATTCCGAGAACGTGTAAACAAATAAAAACAAGTCTTTATATAGTGTTTTAATACCCCTGCCACGTATAAGACCATAAAGATTCCTAAAAATAATTCAAAATATCACCTTATTTCTTTTTGAAAGAATGTGGCCTGATAATAATTACAAATATAACCATATATCTGTTCATGGTGTACTTTGTTTACAAGGTCACCGGAATAAAAGAACACTAATTTAACAAAGAATAGATGAGGTGATTCCAATCACTGTGCATACGAAATTTCGCATAACTTTAGAACAGCATATAGACTATTTTCGATGATTTGCACATAACAAAATATCACTGTTTAACACGAAAACGCTGAAGCGTAATGGATTCGTTAAGGAATAGTTAAGCAGCATATCAATTTCTCAAATGATCTATAGAATGAATACAATTATAAGGTTTGCAATTTGAAACACTCAGGGTTTTTATTTGGACAAAATTCTTTTCTTTTATACAGACATCAGATCTCTTTATCAATGCCTGAATATATTATCATGAATAATTATTGGGTTGTACATCTTATCTCTCATTGAAAGCAAACAAAATTACAACTGAATAACTTTCCTTCATTGCCATTCACTGAGAAAACAATTTACAAATCTCATTTAACTGAGACTAAATTCAGGTAAATCACCCCTGAACACCAAGTTTCTGGTGAAGACATTCACTAGAAATTTCAAAATATATTTCCTTACCAATTTTTGTTAAAGAGATCCTCAATGATGAGCGAACATTCACGTCAAATATGTGTAGTTCAGGAAGTTGTTGTCATTTTCTAACATCATTTGTAAACAAGGTTTAGCCATAATAGATGACCTGCATATACATGTTCAGTGCATGAACGTGTGAAATACGTCATGGTTCTATAGTTTAACCGTCGAATAATCGTCTCGCTAATGCCTGGCAATGAATCCATCATATCTGGCTAACTAAGGTGACTTGCTGATGAGAGACAGATATTTACTGCTACTTCAAAATGTCTGACCAAGCTCAAACACACCTGAATAACAATGACTTTTGTGACAAAAGTGAATCGACAAAATTATTTTGAGTCTTCAGACACTCAGATTAATTATTCGGCATAAACTTATCTCTGAGACATAATAAACAAACACCAACTGGCAATCAATAAAATGCTTCCGATGACTAAAACATTAGACTGTCGATTATATCAACTGTCCATACAGTGCTCATAGCAAATGGTGGCATGGAAAACGTTTAGATCTCCATGCAAGGTTATTCAAGAAAATAGAGCTGAAAGGCTCAACCCTACTTAAGCTTTGATTTCTCGACTAATTATTGAGACGTGATGCTCAGTGAATATTGGTGGGTATAATTCTCTTGGCAAAACAAATTTTCGGCCAAAAGGCGAAGAAAAATTATTGTCTATATGCGTGCAAAATATTTGAGATTACAAATAATTGGACACTGTGATTGGCTTAAGTAAGATATGTTTCATAGTTTCTTCCTAGATTGCAAGTTTATAAACGACAGTCTGCATATGCCCACTGAATGAAGTGAGAAAGTGAAAGTCATGTTGGATGAACATCCAACATTATACAAGAAGGAGTGACTAGTTTCGAATCGATTCACCTGGATACACAACTGACATTCACGTATATAGAAACAAATGTTAAGGTGAGTCAGTCGGCAAATCCCTTCGTCTGGTTATGATAGTCATCACCAACCCTGTGAAGAAGCAGGTTCATTTGTTGAATGACACCTAGTTTGGTGAATGTCGAGGCCAGTGTGTTTGACACGGAGCTGTGCAATGGGACCAATAAGCAAAGTGATAAGACGAATATTTGAGAATTGTGCTATTATGATAAATTAATTCACTAAACACTGATTTCACTTTTCTTGGTAATCCATGTGTTTAATTGAAAAAAATGAGATTCGATCCAGTCATCTATCAGAGGTTTGTGACTGTATCAATCCCCGTTAGACTGTGCACATGAAGTCGAATTCGCCATATTTACTGTGAACTCAATTTCTTGAATGTGATCACAAAACCCTGAAACAAAATGATTCAAAGTTCCTTGCTATGTGCGATCAGTCGACATATGATAGAATCGCGTGTAAGACAGACGGTCTGTTTATTCAAACTCATAGAATCCTCAAGGTTAGATTACTCGATTGATAGGTTTGTAGACATGATTGTTACCATAACCTCAGTACTATTAAGATAGCTGTTGTGTATTTGTAATGATATTTGTGTTTCCTGCAGTCGTCGGGATGTCTAAAACTTCCTCGTCTTTCCTCCAAATTTTGTTCTTGTCGTTCTCGGAGTCTGTATCCCTTCACTCACTGGTACCAATGGTGTCGCTATCGAGTAACATATATTCTATCGTGTGGTCGATATTGAATTGGTGGATGGTGACTAGCAGTGGAATCCAGGATGCGCATTTCGTCCTATTTGGGAATCGTCATCTGGATGTACCTGCATTTCTCAGTAAGTGATGATGTTCCCATCGAGGCTCAAACCCAGTGCCCATGGTTTCAAACACCAAAGCGTTATCCACTAGACCACTTTGGCCACGAGAGACACCTCTTGTGCAACGGGTCCTACTGATTTAATTGAATTTTGGATTTTCCTGGATTCCACTGCTAGTCACCATCCACCAATTCAATACTAATTAAATGCCCAGACATCGTCGAAGCATCTGCCCAAGAAGCCGACATGTCAACCTGAGACCGAGCACTTCGGTCCAATCAATCGACGGGAAAATCCAAAATTCAATTAAAGTGTGGTCGATATGTTTATTAAGATTTCTGAATCATCTATTACCATCCTATTTGCATATTTGTACAACGTCAAACGAATCTGACTTTGCTCTTGCAATCTCGTATTACCTAGAGTCTAGATAATTCTTGTACCACCTGACTATCTTGATAATCTAGATTCTAATCACCGAAATACCCAGTGAGTTATGAAGAAAATGAAAGACAAATTCAGTGAAGATAATTTTCTTTATCGACGAAATCTTTATGAGAGGCTGTACATGGTATTTATATTTACCAAAAATATATAGTGGTCTGTTATTTATTACCAGGGAGTGACATAGTTGAAATAATTACTCAGAAGTGGCTTTAGAAGTGAAAGTTGTAAATTACGTGGTACTCAATTGCACATAGATAGAAATTTGACTAGGTTAAAATTGCTGCTGAGTGAGAATAAAGGTAGTTAGGTGTCAATTGAAGAAGTGGGAAGAGGGTATGAAAGTGTACAAAGGGAGCATATGAGAGTGATAATTTTGAATTAATTATTAAAGTAAAAGCAAACTAAAAGTAAAGCAGAAAATTATAAAGAAGAAAATAATAAAATTATTTTACAGCAAATGACTAGTGAAGAGGTTTAGCACTACTGGAAATGTCTTCTTCGCAGTCACTTCCTCTAAAATCATCGCCCTTTGAAAGGGCATACATTGAATGTGACCGATGACATGAAATCTCGACTACCAGAGATAGAAAGAAACATTTCACTGAGAACACATGCTCGATTTGAACTGACCGAGGAAGAGCAGCGAAATTGTATGGACTACATTGATTTGGTTTCAAGAAGATGGTGGGAAGATTTAAACCTGAAACTCGCAAATAGTCTCAAAGCTGCTGACACTTATTCACGTTTTCTTGCCATACCAGAGGAATACGTTTTCAACTACTCTTGTATATCCCTAGCTCCTATACAATTGCAAGCCTTGTCGCTATGCCCAAAATTCTGTGATATTATGACAATTTCGAGTGACTTGGATATTAAAGTCCAGTTGGAAGCACTGATCCATCAGACAAATGACCTTCTCCCAGTGTCAGACAAATCAAATGGACAATTCAAGTCTACAGTATTGAATAGCTGTCATCAGTACATCAACACAAAACTAGATGTCAAAAGACTGATTTCGGCCGAGCAGAGAGAGCGACTACATGAGATTTGAAAGAATAAAGACTTCTTTCTGACCCACCCCGATAAAGGTGCCGACACTGTCCTGATGGATCGCCAAGACTACATCGATAAAATGTTATCCGTCATGTCAGATGAAAACAAATTTTCAAACGAAAGTAGCCAGAAAGATCAGACGGAACAAAGTGAATGCTGAAGAAAATGAAGAACGAATCAGTTATCAACTTTGAATTATTTGAGTAAATACGACCCTCAGGTTTCGTGATTCCTCGTTTATATGGTCTGCCGAAAGTGCACAAAGAGAACGTGCTACTGCGTCCAATCTTGGATATGACAATTTCCCCATATCATGCTACTGTCAAATGGCTCGCAGACATCCTCCTATCTATCAGAAATAACCTCTTCATGCATAGTGTTTCTGATTCGTTTGAATTCGTCGATTCAATAAGTGATGCTAATGTATCCGGGAAGAAAATGATATCCATGAATGTTACCTCCTCTTTGTCGATGTTCCTCTCACTGAAACTATTTGCTTTATATGCACACTGATTGAGAATAACAATGTAGACGTGTGTGTTCCGAACTATTATTGAGGTGGGCTTTAAATGTTCTATTCAAATTCAACAACACGTTTTATAGACAAAGAAATGGAGTGGCGATCGGGTCACCATTGGGTCTTTTACTTGCATACTTCTTCTTGGCAAGTTTGGATAATAGCATGTTACGGCCTACTATCGGAAGTTTCCATTTGTACCAAAGATACATTGATGATACTTTCATCATATGTGACGACAATCACGACATCGAATTGATAACCTAAGAGTTCGACAGCTGCCATCATGCCATCCAATTGACATCAGAGTCAGAGTCGGAATTCCATTTTGTGGATGTTTTTCTAAACAGTAGATCTGATGGTTCTCTTCAAAGACCGATCTACAGGAAACCAACATGGGATGGGTCCATATGAGAAGGAAGAGAAACCTGATCTACTCCTTATTATCAAGAATAAGAAGGATATGTTCCAGTGATACAATCGATAGGGAACTGGGCGACTCAGACAAGTCCTCATAGAGAATGGATATCCTCCAAGATTTATCGAGAAAAACAT